TAACTTAAATTGGAATTTAAATTTGAGTCAAAATTGGACTACAAGATAAATACAAAATTTTGCCTTATTTCCTAGCTGCAGAATGCGCCTACCACAGGGAGGAATCTCCCTGTGGTGGCCGGTGAAGAGGATAAAAGAGAGAGGGATTTTGTTTCAAAAGTCAAATTAGAAGTGGGAGATAATTATCAAGCTTTATCTTGGAGATAAAGATTAGACTTCTTTTGGGAGTCTAACTACTACTCTATAAATAAGAGATTACAGAAAATTATAGAACCTAATTTTTGCTCTCCTTAACAAAGGTGGCCAAATTTTATTGAGTGAGGCAAAAGGAAAAAGTTTCTGCCAAATTTCACGTCGTGCATGTGTTGATGTTCGTGAAAAACTTGAGTGTTTATTTGCTACTCCCATTTTGTTCAGGTGCACCCACACACACATCTTTGTAGATTTACAAAATTGACGAGGAAGATTCGGGTGTTCTAAACTAGCTTGAAGCATGGAACGTTCGTGGTCAATGAACTCAAGTTATCGACCTAATCGTTCGCTAGGTAAATAAATTAATTTGATTAATTTATTCGTGTATAAATTAATGTAATCTATAGAGTATTTCAAAGTTTTATGAAATTTTTGTTATACACGATCCGCTTCATACACGCTGTCGCATTACAATCGTTTTTAAATCCAACAATTGGTATCAAAGCGGTCTATAGACTTTATTAGTTTATGCTCCGATTATGCGATAATCAATATTGTATTAAATATGTGATACATAATTTGTATGTATGTGATGGGTAGGCACTTGCCTTTATTTATGGATGTTTATATTGATTCATGTTAATGAATGTATGGATGATAGATTTGGTCGTTAATTATATGATTCCATGGATCAGTTATATTCATTCATTAAATTATTTCTAATTTTATTTGGGAATTAAAATTATTGTAATTTTAGAATTTGGGTAGATTAGGGCTAGGAATCACAAGTGCAAGATTGATATTCCTACAAGAAACACATCACTGCCAAGCTCGGACAAAAATCCAGAAGTGACACCCTAAAGCAACTCAGCCCGGCAAGCCTAGCAGGCACGCAAGTGCACGGCCAACACGGGCAGCGTACATAATTGGGCCTCCTGCGGACCCGAAGGTTTTTTTAAACCTTAGATATGCGTGCCATCAAACCCAAAAGAGTTTCGGACCCCGAAGAAGCTGAAATCTGACTTGAAAATAAGGAACGAAACCAATGAACGAAGAATTTAAAAATCGAAGACCTGTTGATGTAACGGAGAAAATAATTATTGTAATTATTTATTTATTTGTTTTGGTTGTAACAATTATTCGTTCGATATGGTTGTAATTTTATTTTTTATGGGACCTAGTCAAATTCATCTGAATAGCCGATTGCATATTTTGTACTTATATTTATTGATGATTGTATATTATATGTCCATGCTTGTAACATGCCTTATAGGTATAATGTGCCTACTCATATGTTTTATAACATGTCATGCATACACGCGCATTATTTTATTTATTTAAAAGATTTTTAAAAAAATAAAATAAAATAAGAACCATGCGCTAAAATTGATTTAATATGATTAAATTGATTTAAGTTGCAAAATTAATTTACAAGATTATTTTATATGTGAAATTGAATTTAAAAATTAAATTTTAGAATTTCACATATCTGATAAATAAATTATTTATTTATAAGGATTTGAAAATCATGAGACGATTTTAAAAAAAAATACATATTAAAAAAATATTGAGTGGGAGAAGATTGTATGACAATACGATCAACTGGTCTCCATTGTTAGTTTAACACTGTGAGATTCGGAAGGGGCTTCGCGGTAGCACCGATTCCGCACTCCCTACGAAAGTGTTTTTTTGGATCAATATTAAGGTAGACTTCCTAGCAATATGATTCAAAGATGTATTTCCGGTTTGACTTACCCTACAGCAACTCTCCGTAGTTAAGTTTGTAGAATCTGAAACAATTGACTACACTCATAAAATATAATTAAAATTAGTTGATTATATTTTGACCAAAATAACAGTTATTAATAAATATAAAAATATGATATATTTTGATTATATTTAATTAATTAATAAAGTCTCGGTTCAATTTGTGAATATTAATAAGCTATAAATATCTTATTGTCCTCTTTTTCTTAATTTCTTTTATTTTTTCTATTTTAATGAATATGGACATATTTTATTCCACCAAAACACTGCAATAATATACATCAACACAGCTAGCAGCATTGCTTTCAAAAAAAGGAAAGATGCAACTAACAGCATTAATATTGCACAATTAAGAGAAGCAGACAGAAACATGGGCCGTGTGAAAAAAAAAAAAAAAAAAAAAAAAAAAAAAAAAACAAACAAACAAACTGCTGCATATGCAACGATTACATACAAAATCATGTTTTCTTTTTAATTAATTACTACGTGCTGTTATAAAAATTGTTGTTGTTACTATTATTATTATGATCGATGCTAGAAAAAAGAACAGATAGACTATAAGTCTATACATAATTAATCATTAAATTAAATGTATAGGCTAGGCATATAGAACACCGTAAATTGCTGCTGACAATATATTCGTTTAATGCAACCGTTCATACTGCTCCAATTGTCATTCGCCTGATATCAATCCATTTTGGAGTTGATTAATCAAACACTTTATTTAGTAATATATATAAACCTGGGACTTAAGTTAATTGTGTTATGAATAGTAACTGTCTACTTAAAATAAAATTATTATACAAGTCCGTTAAAATTATTATTCATGTTAGAATTTTAATGTGTAAATAGTAATCATAAATAGTAAGTACTATATAAATCGTAATAGTAAATAGTGCCAAAATTTTTTCAATAAATAGAACTATAAGGCTTTTCATTTTATATACATTCACAAAATTAATGAAACTCTCTCTAGTTTCTCTTTCTAAAGTTTTTCTTCTTAGTTTTGCCTTTTTTTAGTTTTCATAACAAATTGAAGTATTTAAAAAAACTTATTACCTCCGATTATTGTACGTATGTTGAAATCTTCGACATTAATTTCGTCATACTAATAATTTACATAGTTTAATATATATGTTACACATGCATCAGAAAAGAAAAATATGTTTAGTTGAAGTGACATATATATTCTACCTTCCGGTTTCCTTACGACCTTAAGGTGTTGCTTGTGTTGATATATATGCTATTATATGTCTGTACCATACGCAAGAGATTTGAAAAAAAAAAAAAAAAAAAAAAAAAAAAAAAAAAAAAAAAAAAAATTTAAAAAAAAAAAAAAAAAAAAAAAAAAAAAAAACTGAGAAAAGGAATAATTGATATAGAGATGATTAACACATTCTAATTAAGTCCGTACCCTCGTATACTGAATGCCTACCTCAAATTTATTAAAGAAATAATAAAAATACAAAAAACAAAAAACAAAGGAGGAAATAAGCCATCCGAAAACAAAACAGGAAAGAACAGAGAACCAAAGAATGAAAATCTTGTACGAGAAACTGAAGATAATTACTAAGAAATCTAAGCATAAATCGATAAATAGATTTTTTTTTTCCTAATAGAAATAATGGTTATTCTAGTAGTACAGAGTAGAAAGCCCCGTTTATTCTAAAGAACCAAAGCTTATAAGCCAAAATTCATATGACTCGTGATAGAATTAAGTGCAGGACAATATAACCTTAATTAATTAGTATCGGTGCCCCATTCACAAGTGAATTAAGTCAATTGCCTTGTCCTTTAAGCTGAAGTTATAGCATGTGAATGTTTATTATAATCAAAATTTTTAAAAGCAATTAATTAATTAGAATATGTGCGTTTATTATAAAAACACACACATTATATTATATATAGTAAAATAATATATGCAAATGTAGTACGTACGGAAACATGGCATTAGAGAAGCTGGAGTGTTGGATTCAGGACCACATCATGAACATGGCTAATTTAAGTTTCTTGTCCTGTTGGCAGTACTTGGATCTGCATAAGAAATAATAAAATTTAAATTTTAAACTCAAATTAATAAAATGAATAGAATTTAAAATTATTTCTTAATTTATTATACTTTTTACGTAACTTCACACGCACATATGTATACATACACGTGTATATAATCATTGTCATAACTAATAAAAATTCATCCATCGTTATTACCGATAAAAATGTAATCATTAAAAACACATTTATATATACGTATACATAAATATAAATAATAAACCCACACAACACAAACACATACTGACATACATTTCTATAGGGTTATGTAATTATAAAAGCCCTTTTTTTTTTTTTTTGTTTGGAAAACTATTGATATTGGAGAAACGAATATAGGCCAAAGGAAGTTCCAAATAATTTTACGGAAAGGCGGAAAGGCGTTTGTACAACAGCGATGGGAGCGGTGATACCACAAAATAATAGAAAATAATTAATAATAATAATAATAATGATAAAATAATAAGATAATAAAATAATGATAAAGGAGAGAAAAGGAAAAAGAGACCGCATGAGTGGCAGCTGATGTGGGGGGTGTTAAAAAAGTTTATTATACACATTGTACGTAAAGGGAGAAAAAGAAAGGGAGAGAAGATCAGACAAGAGGACTGAAAAATTGTTCATGTAATATTATTTACTCGATTCATAATACATGGACATTTCAAATTCATTTAAATGGGCAAATTCATTTACTGACTTTGTTCCATGTAAAAGAGATTGACCCCACTATGAGTCACTGGGCCTCTCGCTTTCATTTCACGTGCTGGTGCAGCCCAATTGTGAGGACCTACAGCTTATAATTTGGGCCCCATTATAAGGGCCCCACCAACACCTACCAACACTCAACCTCTTCCTCTCATCCCCACAACACATATATAATAATAATATAACCCCCACCTTGCACCCCTTACTTTTCTATGATTCATTATTCACAACACTCTCTCTCTCTCTCTCTCATTTATCTATGTGGCAAGTACTTATTGTTTTTTTATGTGAAAGAAAAAGAAAAATAAACCAGACAAAGGAAAGACAAATCTCCTCTCTCTCACACACACACACGCAAGTTAAGCAAGCATTATATATATATATATATATAGATATATATATTATCTTTTAAAATTACTCGGCAAATAATCCAGAGATATGGAAGACCTAATGATCTCACCATCTTCATCTTCTTCTCTTATCTCTTTGTCAACCCATGAAGCTTCCCCACCGACTCTTCAACAGAGGCTTCAGTTCATCGTCAAAAGCCAGCCAGATTGGTGGGCCTACGCCATTTTCTGGCAAACCTCAAACGACGACAACGGGAGGCTCTTCTTGGCTTGGGGAGATGGCCATTTCCAAGGCGTCAAAGACACAATATCTCCTATAAACAGCAACAGCAGCAACAACAACAATCATTACTCGGCCGTTTCCGCCGGGATACACGCCGAGCGGAGGAAAATGCTCAAGGGAATCCAATCCCTCATCAACGACAACAACCTTCCCGACATCGATAACATCATGGCCATAAATGGTGACGTCACTGACGCCGAGTGGTTCTATGTCATGTCCCTCACTCGCTCGTTCTTAGCGGGCGACGGGGTGCCCGGCAAGGCGTTTAGCACCGGCTCTCTGGTGTGGTTGACCGGCGTTCATGAGCTACAGTTCTACAATTGCGAAAGAGCCAAAGAAGCCCAAATGCATGGGATTGAGACCTTGGTCTGTATCCCGACTTCTACCGGAGTTCTAGAACTGGGATCCTCCGAAATAATAAGGGAGAACTGGTGTTTAGTCCAGCAGGTCAAATCCTTATTTGGGTCCGATCTGTATACGAATCAAAACGACACAGGGCCAATACAGTTTCTCAACGGAAACATATCCTTCGCGGACATTGGCATAATAGCCGGTGTCCAAGAGGAGGATAAGTACTCCCCCGACGAGATCAAGAAAAAGGAAACCCTCGATTTGATGATGATGAAGAAGAGGAAGAAGAAAGAAGGCAATAGTGCTTATGTCGACTCGGAGCATTCGGACTCAGACTGCCCTTTAATCACCGTCAACAACAACAACAACAACAACATAAGTACCGGAGAGAAACGTGCTCCGAAGAAACGAGGCAGGAAACCGGGGCTCGGCCGCGACACGCCGCTGAACCACGTGGAGGCGGAGCGGCAGCGGCGGGAGAAGCTGAACCACCGGTTCTACGCGCTGCGGGCGGTGGTCCCGAACGTGTCGAGGATGGACAAGGCGTCACTGTTATCCGACGCCGTTTCGTACATCAACGAGCTCAAAGCAAAGATAGACGATTTGGAGTCGCAGCTGCAGAGGGACCAGAGCAACAAGAAAGTGAAGCTCGAGGCAGCCGACACCATGAGCTTGGACAACCAGAGCACGACCACTTCGGTCGACCAAACCAAACCGCCCAACAGCAACAGCAGCAGCAACAAGAGCAACAATATAAATTCTGTTACCGGCAACATTAATGGCCTCGAAATCGAGGTCAAAATTATCGGAACAGACGCAATGATTAGGGTTCAGTCAGAAAACGTGAACTACCCATCGGCTAGGCTAATGGGTGCGTTGCGTGACCTAGAGTTTCAAGTCCACCATGCCAGTGTGTCCAGCATCAATGACCTAATGCTTCAGGACGTTGTTGTGAAGATTCCAGAAGGAATTGTACTGATGAGGACCCAGGAGGGTCTCAAATCCGCTCTTCTCAGAAGATTAGAGCAGTAATTAAAAGTACTTATGATCATAATCATGCTTAATGTTTGTCACGGCAGCTTTTGATTTCTTTTATTTGTTTAAGCTTCTTGTTAATTATCACGGTCATGGTCCTTTTTTTTTTTTCCTTTGTGAAATATATTACCGTGGAGATGATGATGATGATGATGATGCATTCTACTTTCTTGTTACGATAAGCTATGCTAAAACTTTTTAGCCTAATAAAGCATATCGGCTTTAATTAGAGTAATAATTGGATTTCATAAGAATTTACGAAAGTATTTAACCTGACATATACTGTAGTTTTTTGTTTTTATTTAGCTAATTATATGTTCGCCACGTTTGTGGCAAAGAAGGTGTGAAAGAAAATGCACCCACCAAACACTATAAAAAGGTTAATCAATAGATTTATTTTCCCACGAGTGGAAAATAAATTCATGTACATGCATATGTTTGGGATTGGGGGTTATGAAAAAATATTATTAACTAATTAATTGTATGAACATTAATTGGACGGCAAGCCTTTTTTGTCTTCAATAAAATATCCAACTCCTGTTCCTCCTTTTGTGGACGAAATGGAAATGGAATAATAATTTGGGTTTGCTGGGGACATTGGAATCTTGGACCCCCACCACTACGTACCAACTACTAAACAAGCACTGGAAAAATGTGCTTAATTATGTGGATTTATCTTCTAGATGGAATCATGGAAACCTATGATTATTCTACTTTTTTTTTTTTTTGAAAAATGAAACGACTATGACGTACATATATAAAGTTGATAAAGCCATAAGGCATATAACATTTGCACCTTGTATGTGACTACTTTAAAAAAAAATTTTAATTTATAACACATATGGTACATTATTATTTCCGTTAAATTTTGAAAGCTCTAATCAATTTCAGGAATATTCAGAAACCACAAAATTGCTAAATATAAATAAAAAATAAAAGGCTAATCTATTTAAAAGATATAAATAGTTAAATTAATAACATTAAGAAATCAAAATATAATATATAATTACCTGTTAGTGGAAAGTTTCCCCATAGACTAATTAATAGTATTTCGATCTTTCTTTTATGGAAGCAAAACTGGACGAGCTAGAGGAATGTTACTAGTATTTGAAAATTTGTATTCAAATATATAACAATGTTGTGGAAAGTGTCAAGTGTAATTTAAACATAAAAATTATACGAGGGAATAACTAGACGTGAAAAGTGATACTTGGACTTTTTTTTTTATTTTTATTTCTAGCTATTTTCTGAGAGCAGAAGATACCCGAGGAACTCACTCAATAGAATTAATATAGAGAGAGCCTAAAATAAAAAATAAAAAAGAAGGAAAACTCCGCACAGATTCTCCACACTCAGGACAGCCGTTGTGATGGAGCCAAAAAATTTTGTCAATAGAGGCTAATAACTAAATAAAATTTAATCAAAATAAATATTTATTAATGTACTACATGCAATTGTTCCTGATGAATTTTCTTGCCTTGAAAATGTTGTATAATTATTGAGTGTATACTAGGCTTGTGATTTGGAAATGAGATTATAACATTAGGTTTAGTGGGGCTTATTAATACCAGTATAATAAAATATCTAATTATATATATAAGATTTAAAAAGACATAAATTTTGAGGGTGGGGCTTAAGCTCTCAGTGGGCTAGCTTTGGCTATGTCCATGGTTGTCTTCAGCATGGCATCAACCAAGGACTTGCAATTACACTCAAGGACAATGACATTCTACCGTCTACGATCAGCTATATATGTGTATATATAGGCAAGTTTTCAATAATTATAATTTTATGGCGATCTCTTTTAAATAGAAAAATTTGATGATATATATTAAAAATAATATTTATTCTTATTGGGATAAAATCTCATCATCCATAAAATAATAGGTTCTATTAGATTAGGTCTTATTTATCAAGCTAATGAGACCTATTTTTTATGAGTAGCGAGGTTTTAACCCTAATTATCACGATAAACAATACTGCTATACATACGTGTGTGTGTGTGTGTGTATGAACATTAATACGCTCCAAGACAAGATAGGAGCTCGGCCTAATTTGCGATGGATCTGAATTTATAGCTCGGTCCCCTTGGATTATTAATTAGTGTGTACTATTTTTCAGCTTAATTTGTCTCCCATGGGATGATCAATGATCATACAGCTTTTCTTTTTCTTTTTCTCTTTCTCTTTTTTCTTTATTATTATTATTTTTTACTTGAAATTAATTATAGTCCTAGTTGAAGATAAGATGATATATGTTGCACGTAACTATTGGTATTGGACATTCCCCTAAAAAAAATGCTGATACACACGCACGCACACATATGTATAATATGGTGTATACATGATCATTACCAAATTTACATTAAACTGTGTCGGTATTTAGGCACTCACAGATTGTTTGTTTGCTCACATAAAGCATGTAGACATACAGATACATGCTGGTGTGTTTGGTTGGGGGAATGGAAAGAAATCAAAGTTCATTCTCATGTTTGGTTAGTTTTAGGAAAAAGAATGGCCATTCAAAATGGAATGACTTTTCCATCAAATGGGTGAATCATCATTCCTTCCTCACATAAGAGGAATGCCCATTCCCTTCTAATTTTCTTTTCCATCGTTACCCTTGAATATTATAAATTAATATTATATTATAATATAATTATATCTTATAACATATAATATAATATATTATAATTATATACGTATATTATAATATATCATAGTTAATATTATAAGATATTATATTTAT